AAATGCATCTGGTCTGCCAGAGACCAATGGTGCTCGTAGACCCAATTATGGGTAGTCCTCAACTTATGACAATTGAGATCAGAATGTCCATCATTAAGTAAAGTGATTGTTGTGAGTCATACCTGATTTTAGGACCTTTCTGCCATGGTAGTTAAGCAAATCACGGTGGTTGTTAAGTGAATGAGGGGGTCCTTAAGACAATCCAGCTTCTCCCATTGACTTTGTTGAAAGCTGGCTGGGAAGGTTGCAAATGTTGACCATGTGGATGCAGATCCAAGCGCAAGAACAAACCAAACCCCACACCTCAGAGGAATAGTCAAGAGATTTTTATTCTAATAACTGTAATTATAGTGCTCGTTTGTTGAAATAACTGAAAACAAGTATACAAAACAGTTGACTACTGTATTGAAAGCAAACTTTTTTTTTCTTGTCCACACCACCAACCAGTTCTGATCGTGTTTTTCCTCAAGCTGCAACAGCTCCAGTTTGGTTTTTTTTAATTATCAAAGTACAAAAGAAAAAAAACAAAACAAAGTTAGAGTCATCTAGGATGACAAATCTCAAACATGCAGAATGAGTGATGTAAAAAGGGCATTTCTCATAGCCCAAAAATGTATCTGACACGTTTAATGGAAGGCACCTGATTTTCAAACACTCGTTTTCAATATTCTCCCCCAGAGGCAACAAGCTTGTGTGACATTTCTTATTTAAGTATAGTATTTGCTGAGGTGGGGCAGCTGTTGTGACGTCTGTGCAAGAGGACCGTCTTTGGCTGGAGAAATTCAAGGAATTTTGAAGGAGCTACACTCCGCAGTGACAGAGAGGAAGATGAAGATGGTGTCAGGCCTGCAGCAGTTTCCTTTTGGGATCTTTGGCCTGCCACACTAATCTTCTATTCTACTATGCTGTTTCATTAGTGGGGAATTGGGAGGGGGAATAGTAAGGAGTAGAATGTGATGTTGTCAAAATAAAATTCCTTTCTAGAATCCAAGGTCATCCTTTGTCTCTACACCTGACCGGAACTGGATGGGTGGAACTGCCAGCATGGCAGTGGAAGATTGTGCCATGTGATGGACTTTGTGGGTGTGGGGGCAAGATCATGAACTGTCATCTGGGTGGGGAAAACTGGGAAGCTTTCAGATTCAGGTTTTCACAGATGTGCCAACATGACTCTCTTAATAAATTGGAACTTTGAGCAATACTTTGCCTTGGACTCTGATTTAATTTTGGATGTTATTTGGAACCCTGACATTAACCCGAATCTCCCTTAAAATACTTCACCAGCTACCCCTGCAGTGGGCGCTAGGAGGGGTGCTGACTCCCAAAACTGACCCGACCAGAGTCAGCGTAAAATATCAGCAAAATGAAGATAGAGCCCATGGAAATTGTAGCAGATAATGGGTCACTTCTCTGTGCGGACACAATCTGCAAACATTCCAAAGTTGTAAGAGGGGCTTGCAGAGGAGGACGTCTGGAGATTTATGGCGTCTGGAGAAATGCTGTTGGAGCCAGAGGGGGTTGAAAGGGCTGTTTCAACACATGGCTGGAGAAGACAAAAGCAATCACCCAGTAGCCAACCAGATGATTGGAGCCTCCCAGACCAACTTATGCAGCTGAACGTGAGTGAAATCAACCTTCGAGTTAGTTCAGGACCAAAAAGGCCCCTGGCTCACCCCACGTTCTCCTTCCCTAGCAGAGGCTCTGCAACACACTGGAGTGGAGATTTTTACTCCTTCCACACAGCAAGTAAAATGACCCATTACCCTGCAGCAACATGGGGAAATCAATCCAGCCAGCAGAAAGGGGCTTGGGCAACATCTCCCCCTAGCCAGCCACTGATGTTTGGGCTGCAGCCTGTGAATCAAGCACCACCGGGGTAGGCTTCCTTCCCAGGTCATGGATGGGAGAGATACCAGTGGGCCCCTGCCTTCCCTCAGCAGATGGCACCATGTCAGATAACTGGGCAGGGGTCAACCCAGGGACTGACACCCCCCCCCCCCAATTCCAGTCCCACCTGCAATGCCCCAACAGGCTCTTACCCCACCTTCTGACAGAGAAATAGTCACAACAATGGCAGAAGGGATGAATGAGGGGGAACCTGCAGGATGGATAGCGGAGCATCGTTACAAGGCAGCTCCTAAGTTTAGAGATGCAACTGGGTTCCTTCCCTGGGGGAGGGGAAAGGAATAAAATTCTACCGTTGCTGTCAACCTGTCCACAGAGCGTCAGAGTGCCTGGCTCCAGCCCCAATCTCACAAAGACGTGCACCAACCACCAGTGCGGTAAAGAGAAGGCCCCGGAAGCCACCAGAAGAGTCATCTGGGTCAACAACCTCAGAAAGCTGATCCCCAACCTAAGATGATGAAAAGTCTAACCAATGGGGAAACCTCAGAGGAAGAGAATAGTGTAGATGACCTGATGGTGAGTGCACCCGTCCATACTTTCGCCATCCAAGCCAAGCTCCAAGTACCCGAAACAGGGGTGGAAGGGGAAGCTGAAGCAGTCGTGGATACGGTTTGAGCAGGTAGATGGAATGCTAATTGGAGGGACCCCGGCCATGCTAATGACTGAACTGGTAAAGTTACAAATAGGCTGCCACTATGAGCTCCTCAGATTCATTGTGGCTCCAAAGATGCCGGAATTAATTATCTTGGGGGTTGCATGGCTGGACAAGTGGACGCCTACGATAAAGTGAAAAGACGGCGTTAGGAAATTGATTATCAGATTTCGGCCACTACCACTGGTGGAGCCAAAGTGCCACCCAGGGACGATTGAACCCAAGAGCCCAGAACCTGTAGCAGACACAAAACCCCCATGGATCCAACAAGTACCAAAACACTACTGGGACTTGGCGGAGGTGTTCAGTGAGGAACATGGGAACTATCTTCCCCCTCACCGGCCCACAGATTGGCATTTCAGAAGCACACTTCATCGCTTGCTCAGGGTTGCCGTCCACAAAGAAATTAGCAAAAATGTTTATGAAACACATTTATCACCTACACGGAGGATCATTTCAGACCATGGAGTCCAGTTCACCGCCAAGTTCTGGAGAGAATTCCTGAGATCCATTGGGTCCACACAAGGACTCAGCTCAGCGTTTCATCCCAGCATAAACAGCGCAGCTGAGAGGGCCAATGCAATGGTGGAACAGTACATCCGGTGTTATGTGGACTATCAGCAAGACAACTGGTCGGACTTGCTACCCTTCAACGAAGTGGCGTACAACAACATGGTCCACAGCACTGGATTAACTCCTTTCCAAATTACCAGTGGCATGGAATTTGTTCCCATGCCTGAGCTGCCTAGAGAACCTCCCTCCTCCATGTCTCTGACTGAATGGATGGACACGCTAAAGAATGAGAAAATATGAAGAAAGCTCTAGCGGATGCAGCAGAAGCCTACAAGAAGCAAGCTGATAAACACCGCTCGCTCCAACCCCCATTTCGTGTGGGGGACAAAGTTCTCGTATCTACCAAATATATAAGAATGCCTAGCAAGAAATTTGGCCCAAAGAATGCCTAGCAAGAAATTTGGCCCAAAATTTCTAGGTCCATTCCCAATAGTGAAGATAATTAACCCAGTTACAGTTCAACAGTCTACCCAAAATTCTAGGGAAAATTTACCCAGTATTTGACTGTAGCTTGTTGAAGCCAGCAATTGTGTCTAACATAAGACCGTCCACCCAAGTTCCCCCTCCTCCTGTAGTGATAGAAGGGGAAACACATTATGAGGTGAAAAAAATCTTAAGACTCCAGGCTGTATAGGGGTCGCTTACAGTATTTAGTGCATTGGAAGGGGTACCCTTTGTCTGAAGCTACTTGGGTGAAAAGCTGGGACCTAAAAACCGATAAGCTAGTAAA